TTACATTTGTTAATATTTTTCTCATCAGAAAAATCTTTAAATGTTCATAATGGATTCAGGTTTTCACTTTTCACAATTCTATTTTTCACTTGAAAGCATAAATTCCTTTCATTGGCAACAAATGCTGTCAGTTGTTTTCCTTGAAATAAACTTATTCTCAAGAATGTGTCTGCTAAGTATATTAATCTTAACACATTGCAGACAGATCACAAGAATTCTCGCTTCATATTACACAATGTTTTACAAAGTATCTATCATACTTTAAAAACATATTAGATTGTAAGAACATGTAATAAATAACTTCAAAATGCAATGGATATTTAATTTTAAAGTGTGCCTTAACATGTAAGATGTTTTTTGTACTCGTTCAGTAGAAACTTATCTGGCCACTGGGTAAAGCAAGCAATAAAACTACTGGTCTGCAATGTGTTAAGAACCATAATTTGTTCTTCTTTTAGATAAAATAGTGTCCCACAAAAAAAGTTCAGCTTTGCAACTCAAGCAGTTGTATAACTTCCTTTAGATAATGTAGTTTGATATTTAGCAGATATACTTTATGCATACTTCCCATTTCATCACACTGAATATTAAAAAGATTTGTACTCAAGGGTCAAGATTTTTAAAAGTCAATAATTTTTACTGCTTCATCAAAGACATTCTTAAGTGGACTTTTTTTTTTAACTGCAACTTCATAGTAGTGAAGAGTACAGTGACTACTAGTACAGTATGGTGCACTGCATGGACTTGTACTAAAATGGTGGCTAAAATTTGATTTATCATTGCTTTTGCACCTTCAGTACATATATCTACACGGCGAAAAGGGCAATAATGTTTTATTATTCTAAGAATAGTTAGACCTTGTGGGTCTTCTGAAAAGATACCACAGACCTATCAGAACTGGTGCTGTGATAATAACCAAAACACTTCCCAGATGGCTAGCATACACTCCCACCCCACTAATTCTCTTTGTTTACTTTCTGTCATACAGTTTATTACAGTTTGTAATTATATATATTCCTGGCTTTGTAATGTCTTTGGACAAGTTACCTAACCTCTCTGTGCTTCCGTTTCCTTCTCTGTACAAAAATGATGTCTCTCAGAGGATTATTGTGAGGACTAAAGGAGTTAAAATCTGAATATATTCAAAACAGTGCCTGGCACACATAATGCTGTTATATGTATTCCATTTATTACTGTAGGAGCTGCCTCCCGTACCAGGCTACTCTACACTTTGCAGGGCAGGATCCACATTGGTTTTGTCTACCAGCATAACCCTAGAACCCAGCCCAGTGTTTGGCATATATTTGATGCTTAATAAATTCTTGTTGAATGAATGTGGGCTGGTGTGGGAGACTGAAAGTAAAAATATGTTTGCTTGTCTTGAACTGCAGAACAGTTTGGGGAGAAATAATGACAGATGGAAATAGTGATCGTTATGCTTGGATAGAGAAATGGAAGCAAATAGGTGGAGCTTTCTCACAGAACTTTGATAAGGCAAATGAGCAGATTGTCAAGAGCTGACTTGTAATAAGGAGAAATATGATTTCCTGCCTTGAAGGATGGCAGGGGTTTTCATACTTGACCTTTGAATATATTTTTTGTTTGGTCACATTCTTTGTTTTGGAATAGGACTCATTGGTTTCCTAAAATATTGGATAATAGGAGTAATGTTAACCACCTCAGACATGGAGAAAAGAGAAAATAGAGGAAGATTCTTAAAAGGAGTGGGTTAAATTAGATGAGACCTAAGACTTCGTTCTGCTATTTTGAAGGAGTAAAAGGAAAGAAAGGGATAAAATGCTTTTATTACATTATTGCCTTGATTTTTGTCACAGGAGAAAAGGCTGTGTCATATGTTAGTAGGACTTTTAAAAAAATTTATTTTAGAGAGAGAAAGGGAGAGAGAGAGGGAGAGAAACATCGATTGGCTGCCTTCCACATTTGCCCTCACAGGGGATTGAACCACAACCTGGGCATGTGCACATCAAACTCACTCACCTGTACACTTGGGTGTACAGGACGATGCTCCAGCCACCTGAGCTACACCAGCAGGGCATAATATTTACCTCTTTATCAACAGCTTTTTATGATGTGTTTCATTACAGTTAAACTGCTATTGGGATCACCTATTTTCTTTGTAATTATTAAACAAGTTGGAAGCCCTAGCTGGTTTGGCTCGGTGGATAGAGCATCGGCCTGCGGACTGAAGGGCCCCAGGTTCGATTCCAGTCAAGGGCATGTACCTTGGTTGCGGGCACATCCCCAGTAGGGGGTGTGCAGGAGGCAGCTGATCGATGTTTCTCTCTCATTGATGTTTCTAACTCTCTATCTATCTCCCTTCCTCTCTGTAAAAAATCAATAAAATATTTTTTAAAAAAGAAGAAAAGAAATATGGAAGAATGTGTGCTTTTATGTGCATGTGTGTCCGTGTGGGTATCTTCATGTGTGTGCATGTGTATGAGTTCATGTGTGTGTGTGCATGCGCATGTGTGGAGTAGGGTGTGTGTGCATTGTGTGGGGCTGTTTCTTGGAGCTGTGTCTAGTTCTGAGATTTGGTAATGTGCTCTCACGTGGATTGCTTCCTTACCATTTTCTCTATCACTCTCAGAATGACAAAGATGTCAGGAGGTTTGAGTTTTGGCCCATTGGAACAACCCAATCTCTTTGGGCTTCAGTTGCCAATAATTGGCAATGTTATCCATAAGAGTACTAAAGAAATAATAATAATAATAAAAAACTAGCTTATGTTTAGAAAGAAAACAGTACAGTTCTTGTGTATTTTTCAAAGATTATATAGACAGAGGATTAAGGTCTAGCTAGCAAAGTGAAATAATAGGAAACTGAATAAAATGTTACTTTGATTTTGGTGCCACAGAGTGGAATCCAGTGGTTGTATTAGAAAGGAATTATCTTGGAAAAGTTTGGATATTTTGACAGATAAGAATGACAGATAATGTATGATGCATATACCTACCATATGGTAAGTAGATGCTTGCTTTGTGGTAGCTTTGAATATTGTTAGTAATACATATGTATTGTAGCTATAGCAACATATTTTTTTCTTATGGTTAATTGCTTAACACTTCCGCTACCTTGTCCTGGGAGTAAGAATTGGGTTCAAAGTGCTATTTTGCCACTGACAGATTGGGTAGCCCTAGAAATAAAGACAGCCTTGATGGGCCTTGGCTTTATTATCTCAATATTAATTGTCATGACCATAGTCTTTATATTCTTTAAGATTTCTTTGAATTCTAAAATTCTGTGACATAAGGAGGGTAACCATTAAGTAAAAATAGGGAACTTTTAAATCTTGACATACTTACCAATGACTAACTTTTCTTAGCAGCTACAGTGCTTATAGACGAGAGGCCCGGTGCACTACATTCATACATTGGTGGGGGGCGGGGTCCTTAGCACTGCCTTGGAGGTGGGAGAGGCTCCTGCCATTGCTGGTCAGTGCGCATCATAGTGACTGGTCGTTTGCCATTTGGTCCATTTGCATATTAGCCTTTATTATATAGGACTAGAGGCCCGATGCATGAAATTCGTGCAAGGGACTTGGCCCTCGCAGCCTGGCTGGCCCTCCCAGCCCTGACTGCCTCGGCTGGCCCTCACAGTCCCGGCCGGCCCTCGAAGCCTCGGCCAGCCCTCACAGCCCCTGCTTCGTCCAGAAGGTCGTCCACAAGGTCATTCAGCTGTTCAGTCTAATTAGCATATTAGCTCTTTATTATATAGGATAAGAAGAGTTACTTAAATATTACAGCTTAGGCCTGCTCCCCGTGGGCCTAAGCCATCAGTCAGATATCCCCTGAAGGCTCCTGGACTGCGAGAGGGCAGGCTGGGCTGAGGGACCCCTCGAGTGCACAAATTTCATGCACCAGGCCTCTACTAGAGATATATTCCTCTGGTCTCTGTACTCAGAATTTACCTGAATTGCTTCTAGTCTCTCTCTGCCTCTGCTAGTCTTCTTCCCATTTCTAGATTGTTTAATTGCTTCTATTTTGTCTTTGTTGTCCTTTCCTTTCAAAGCCCTTCTAAACTCTGTCCTCACTAACCTTCTTAAAGCCTTCCTTACTTTGAATGCCTTGGGACCAGACCAAGTCTAAATATATCTGTAGCTTGCCGCATTTTTCTTATTTGGTTTGCATGCATATTTATCACCTCCGTTGATATGAAAGGTTCTCAAGGGAATAAATTATTATAATTTTAAAAGTATTTCCACAAATTTTTTTCTCATTGTGCTGACATAATCTGGGCCCCTAGATACTTTGTAAAATCATGTTGAATAGAAAACTAAGACCTTGCCTTGATTTTAATCTATTGGTTAGTGGGGAAGACCAAACACACATAAAGGACATATCCTGTGCACTATTGCAAAGCAATGAATCAGTTGTGAAAAATGAAAACCTTCAGATGAAATGGATAAGTGGTTCTGATGAGGTGTTCTGCTGTGTTGTAACAGTTAACTGTAGCTTATAGTTAATTCTGATCTTAAGACCCACTGTAGCCTCAGTAGCTCACACTTCAGCATCTAAAGTACTAGATAGTGGTTGGGCTGATTTGGGCTAGTGTTCTTCGGTGTGAGGACAAAGCACCACTTACTGGACTTTCCTCTAAGAAACTGTTAGTATTAGTTCACCACTAAAGCACATACTGTCTCTGCAGGATGGTGAACCATCCCATACTGTATATTTTCATAAACCTTGTAGGTAAAGGTGAAACAGTGAAAGCCTTAAAGTAAACTAAGTAAAATGAAGTAGCATTCTGTGTTATTAGGAGATACTATTTGTGATACAGTTCTCTTGTCACTCAAATATTTTGCACTATGGATTTTATGTCAGTGTACCTGGATGTTCTATAGCTCAGTCAGATACTGGTCTTCTAGTGTTCATTTATTCATTTCAAAGACAGTCTTTCTATTTCATTCTTAAATAATAATAACTAGAGTCAAAGTAAAGAAAATGAAGCATACTTAATGCTTGTTATTATTGTTTTATAAGGCACAGTTGGTGGATCTGAAATCTGAACTGACAGAGACCCAAGCAGAGAAAGTCGTACTGGAGAAAGAAGTACATGATCAGCTTTTACAATTGCACTCTGTTCAGCTTCAGCTTCATGCTAAAACTGGTCAAAGTGTCGACTCTGGTACTATTAAAGCAAAACTGGTAAGTAGTTTATAGGGTAACCTATACTTATATGCATTTTAGAGGATGAAGGGAACAATTTTTAGTGAGGCTTTTTAATTATAAAAGGTGTGTGCATTATGGGAATTTTAGAAAATACAGGAAATGTAAAGATCAGTGCGATCATTCCCATCCCCAGAGAAGATCAGTGATAATATCAATAACCAATGGGTACTTAGAATAGGATTTTCCTATTTAAAAATATCTGTATAAATATATTTAAAAGATATTTGGGATTATAGCATATAAAAATTTTTTTGCCCTACTGTGTCAGCATTAAGTTCAGAAATCCCAAGAGATTATGCTTGAATAGTATAAATTATTTATTCATGAATAGTACATATTATTTTCTCTCAATTAAAGAAGCTCTGAGACAGACAGTGTAGACCTGATATGGCAGCTCCACACATATCAGGGATCCGGCTTCCTTTTGTTACTATGCTCTGTCATTTTTAGCTCATAATTTTTATCCTCAGGATTTGTTTAGGTCTGCACTCCAGAGTTCAAGGGAAGGGCAAAAGGATGATTCCCAGCTGCATTAGCCTTCTTTCAAGCACTTTTCATGAACTCCTCCTCAACGGTTTTTGCCAGTCAATTTGGCCATCTCATTGGCTGTCCTCAGCTGCTTGTCAGACTCTTAGTGGGTCACATGGCCACCTCCATTTAAATCAGAGTTCTGATAATACGGACGAAGGGGAAAATGGATTGGGTGCCAACCAATGGCACATGTTTTGTTTTGCTCTAAATATATTGTAGACATTTTCCCTGCCACTTGAAAACTTATTTTGCATAATGTTTCATTGTACAAATTTTCCATCATTAGCCATTGCTCTCTTAATTAGTATAGGGTGTTTAGGTAAATATTTTTTAAGTCTGATTTCAGCTTAATTCATGTCTTGAGTATGTATTATGTGCCAGACATTTTGTTAACTGTAGGGAACACAGTTAATGATGACAGTAAAATACATTTTTAAGTTTTACTTGTTTTTAGTTCTATTTGGTTGGCTAATTAGTTTTTAATACTGATACATTAGAATTTATTTAAATGAATATTTATAATCTCCCAAAGTCATTTTAAATTCTGAAATTTTATGAATAAAAGTTAGTAGTGTTTTAACTGACATGAGTCAGATAACAGCTTCTTTGGAATATATATTAACATTGAGAAAACAATGTTAACAACGTGCATTTTCACTAGAAAGGAATTTACATAAATTTTTAAAAAATATATATATTTTATTGATTTTTTTTTTCAGAGAGGAAGGGAGAGGCATAGAGAGTTAGAAACATCGATGAGAGAGAAACATCTATCAGCTGCCTTCTGCACACCCCCCACTGGGGATGTGCCCGCAACCAAGGTACATGCCCTTGACTGGAATCGAACCTGGGACCCTTGAGTCCGCAGGCTGACGCTCTATCCACTGAGCCAAACCGGTTAGGGCAACATAAAGTTTTAACATTAGATTGAACTATAGGCTGCTGTAGTGGAATGACACTGAACCAGGTGTGGTGACTAATGATAAAACAAAAAATTTTAATCTAATACTATACAGTTATTATTTTATTGCTTATGGATTTGCACATATATTTGTCCTAACAAATTTTGCCCAAATGTTATTCAACATATGGAAATTTTCCTTGTAGTGATTATACCACTAGATAAATTCATTTGTTTGATGTTTTTCTAATTATAAAACTTTTTTCTTATATCTTAAGTCTGTCCCCTCTGTGGAGGAGCTGGTAAGTATGTTGTTTCTGTTTTGCTTTATAATGTCACGCTTAAGTGTTCTTAGTGTTTTCTTTGCACATTGTATTTGAAAATGATGTTGATGGCAATTTTTAAATGTGCTAGTACCTGAAAAGTTCAGTGGATGGCCCATTGCTCTTTTCTCACTAATGTTGTTAAAGATTTTTCTTGTGTTTGTAATTTGTAGCCATTATTTGCAGAGCTCATCAATTTTTAACAACTTCTTTTTTTTTTTTAATATATTTTATTGATTTTTTACAGAGAGGAAGGGAGAGAGATAGAGAGTTAGAAACATCGATGAGAGAGAAACATCGATCAGCTGCCTCCTGCACATCTACTGGGGATGTGCCCGCAACCCAGGTACATGCCCTTGACCGGAATCGAACCTGGACCTTTCAGTCCGCAGGCCGACGCTCTATCCACTGAGCCAAACCGGTTAAGGCAATTTTTAACAACTTCTGAGCCTGGTAACTTGCTCACACCTCTACTCCAAAAGAGCAATTGGTTTTCCCACTTGAGTGTTTTGAAAATATTAAACAGGGCCAGTTTCCCTCTTTGCTATTTGAATTTATTCCCAGAGAAAGAATGTGCATGTTGGTTTCTTATTCATCCACTGCATGTGTTGTAGCAGTCTTCACAATAATTGTGTGGCTTTTCTGAATTTTAAAACCCTTTACCAGAAATTATTTTAGAAGATATCACAAATTCTTAATATTTTTCCCACTACCCCAACCTAATCAGGTTCCAGTTTGTCATATGGCTTCCCTTTTTTTGAAAATATACTGTTTGGCTATCTAAATACACAATGAACTTCTTGATTATTATCTAACTAGAGGCCCGATGCACGAAATTTGTGCAAGGGGCTTGGCTCTCACAGCTGCAGTGGCTGCCCTCGGCCCTTGCAGCCCCGGCTTCATCCGGAAGGTTGTCCAAAAGGACATCTGGAAGGCTGTTCAGCTCTCCGGTGTAATTAGCATATTATGCTTTTATTATTATAGATAATAACAAATTGGTTAACTAAAAAAATTTGGGCTTTTTTTTGTTTTATTTTAAATCTAGAAGTGATCAAGTTCAGTTTTCTCAGTCCTTTTTTTACTTGTATCTTTTAATTTCAGGCCTGAGAGTTTGTCAGATTCATTAGGGGTTTGAATCATTAAAGCAAAGCAGTGGCTTATTATGTTTCTTAGATTTCGTAAATTTTGTGTAAATAGCTCATTAAAGTCATTGTAAGTAGATAATTCTCAATGTAAAGTTTATTTAGCCAGTAAACCAAAGAATTCTTGGTCTTTAGGAACTCTTTTTCTGAAACAATAGCATTAACCCTCAATAAATGTCATTAAAAAGTCTTGTTAATGTAATCTAAACAATGGTTTCTTTTAGAACTGATACCTTCTCTTTTAAGGAATAGGTTCTGAAATAAATAGACATATTAATAATTTGAAAGTTGTTTAAAATGGAGGATTATCAGTTCTGCAAATTTTTTAAAACAATATCTAAAAATGATGTTCTCATAATTTTTTAAAACAAAAGTTGTAAAAGCCTGCAGATTAATTTCTTTCTGCTTATCACATACATAACAAATATTCTTAATCACAGAAGTTGTCATTTATTTTAGCTTTGTATAATTTTTTTGAAGATTGTGGTACTCACTTATATTTGAATATATTATCTATTGGTATTAAATATAGCAAATGCTGATGTACTGTAGTCAAAACAGTAGACCAAATTAGTACCATAATATAGTCCATGAATTGCTAAAAATTTGTTTAAATATCTCAGCTTCTTAATATCCAGAATATAAAAGGAAATAATTATCATAATCAGTACCCAAACAGTAGAAACTATCATTTGCCTGTTGCTTAAGATAAACAAATTTTCCTAGTGCTATAGTAAATCTTTTAAGTCTATCTCATAAAGGAGACTTGACAATATAGTGACGTGTCTTCCACATCTTATTAACAGATATAACCATATTTTCACAGGCTTTATAAGTTCTATAAATTAGCAAGGCAGAAAAAGCAATTTTGTAAATCAGTAAAAGCAGTTCTACTCAGGATAGATGCAAGGTTGCAGTGTTTGGGGTTTTTTGTTTGTTTGATCCAAAAATAACACTTAAAATATCTATCAGGGCCAGTATCAATTCTCAAGGGTTTTGTTTGTGTGTTTGTGAATTTGAATTTGACTGCCTTTAGGCAGAATTTTGTACCTTCAGTTTTCTACTCTCCTAAGTTATCTTGTACCTGCCTCTGCTCTGTGTTTGGACCTGAGGGTATTTACATTTGTACATACTGTACTTCCTACTTTTAAGGTAAACTGAACATTATTTCTCACATGTAAGCTTATGATAAAAATTTGGTGGTGAAGATCTTGAGGTTTTACCCTCTGGCTAACACCTATAAATTCACACATATGGACTATCTACTTGGTGGAGCATAGGATGACATCATTTTATGAGAGCTAAAAATGGATATGCATCCTTCCATTAGGATATGGAAGTGAAGCCAGTATTTTCCTCAGAAAACAGTTCTTCACTCACTTTAACATATGGACAAATAAATGAGCTAGGGCCCCAAATTCAGTGATAATCTACACTGTAGATATGCTTATTTTTGATGTGTAAATGTCTTCATGCAGCTGTTACCAACATTTCTCCATGATCATAAAATGTTTCCTTTTATTTAGAATATCTGTTTTAATTTTAGCATTGTAAGTTTTTTGTAGTCTTCTAAGATAGATAACTATAGAGCATATCTCTATGTAACTGAATGATTTTGACTAGCTTTATAGAATTATTGCATCAAAGTTAATTGAATATTTGGGCACAACCACCAGAATGACTATTTTATTTTAGTCTAGTTTCTTGAGTAGTTTTTCAAAAATAAAGAGCAGATTCAGTTATCAATTGAAGTCACTTCTATTACTATGTGATAACATGAGCATAAAGAATACTACTTCTCAGCCCTGGCTGGGTAGCTCAGTTGGTTAGAGTGTTGTCCCAATACTCCTGGTCATGGCACATACAAGAAGAAACCAGTGAATGCATACAGAAATGGAACATCAAATCTCTCTCTCTCTCTCCCCCCTCCCTCCCTCCCTCCCTCTCCCTTCCTCTCTCTCTCTAAAAAAAAAATAAATTAAAAAATAAAAAGAATATTATATCTCTTAGTACTCTCACTAGAAGTGATTCCAATACCTCTGGTATTAGTTAAAAAGAACTGGATCCAAATCTTTGTGTTCTTATTTTATAGAAATAAAGTGGTCATTTTTATCATATGCTTTCATTGTTGTCATTTACACTGTGTGCTTTTGTGTATTTTAAGGAATATGCTCTACTATAGAGTCTTCAAAGTATTTTCATTACATTGTTTGTTTTTTAATTACAATAGGAGAGAGAGCTTGAAGCAAACAAAAAAGAAAAAATGAAAGAAGCTCAACTTGAAGCTGAAGTAAAGTTGCTGAGAAAAGAGAATGAAGCCCTTCGTAGACATATAGCTGTTCTTCAGGCTGAAGTTTATGGGGCAAGACTGGCTGCCAAGTACTTAGACAAGGAACTGGCAGGAAGGTGTGTAAAAAAATGGGTACCCTTTTATCCTTAGGTGACAAATGGATATGTAATGAGGTTGACTTTTACCTCTGTGGTAAACGAAACAGTCTTTACCCTAAGAGTTATTTTATAGAGTTATTTTACAGTTGGTTATAGCTTACTGTTGTTAACTTAATATTGATAGCCTTATATATTGCAGATTTATTCAGTATTTTTGGTTTACACACATACACACACACACACACACACACACAGATAGTAATTTACTGTTAAATGTGAACAATTCCACAACTGCACTTTTCAGCCCTTATCTGCCTTGACACATGACAGATAATGTTCACATGTGTAGCACAACTTCCATAAGGAATTATTTCTGTGATCACTGAAGCCTGATCTTTCTTACCCCTCAAAAATATCTATAATAATAAAAGTGTAATATGCTAATTAGACCACATGTCCTTCCGGACGACCTTCTGAACGAAGCCGGGGCTTCAAGGGAAGCCCGGGTTCTGGGTGCCAGAGGGAAGCTGGTGCCAGCTGCCGGGGGAAGGAAGGCCTACTCTTGCATGAATTTCGTGCATCAGGCCTCTAGTATTGAAATAACAGTGATATTATCACAATGAATTATTCCAAAACTTTGGTGATTTATTATTAGTACTAAATAATTTTCCACTCATTGTCTTAATGTCACATTAGAACTGATGTGGAGCAAATAAAAATAACAATATTGAAGTGCACATTTTCTAATAACTTAGCACTTTTAAAAGAATCATTTTGTTTAAAAAGGAATTGTTAGAAATGTTTCAGTATAGTTAGCCTCATCTGAAGACTAGTATTCAATAGTGTCTGAGTTCAATGACCTATCTTGATTGTATGCAAGACATGAAATACATGTTAATTGACATTAGTCTCATAAATTGTTTCTTAGATGTATTTAAATTAAGCATATGACTAAAGAATGTCTTATTTATTTTTTTAATTGGTTTTCCCTTGAAGACACAATTCTTTCCAGAGTTTTCATATCCTTGTTAATCTAAGAGACATTGGGAGGTTCCTGAGTATTATTTTTATTACTTAGATCTTTGCAAAAGCTACTTATGTTCAGTAATTCTTCTGAATTCTCTCTGTAGTATGCACAATGAAAAACTAACTGAATTAACTCTTTTTGCAATATGAAGGGTCCAACAAATACAATTATTAGGGCGAGATATGAAGGGACCTGCTCATGATAAGCTTTGGAACCAACTGGAAGCTGAAATACATTTGCATCGTCACAAAACTGTCATCAGAGCCTGTAGAGGACGTAATGACCTAAAACGACCAATGCAGGCACCACCGGGCCATGTAGGTTTGCTTTGCTACTGTTTCCCACTCAACCTCTTCCTTCTTTACGTAATCAGAAGCTCTTTTCATTTTTGTATTCTATTAGTATTTAAAACTTTAATTTAAAAAGTGAAAGTGGGATTAACCTTATTTAAAAGAGATACATATTTAAAGTTTCAATTACCCATAGCTCTTTATAGACTTATTGGTGCCCTGAAAATGATATATCTGAAGATAGTGAACTATTGGTAGTACTTTGGCTCATATTTTACAATTTTCCTGTATCATGATTAGCATGAATTTGTTTTAAATTTATTTTAAGCTTAGCAGAGAGTCTGTAGTCATATTGATAAATTGGTAAATATTTTTGGGTAGTTTTTTAAGAGAATTTTTGATAACTTGATTTAAATGTAAGTTCTGAACTACTGTTTATACCTGTTTATTCTTGAATTAAGATGGAATTTGACATCTGTGTCTGTGTCTAATTGTCTGCTTTCTTAGCCATCACGTATGGGGAGTATTTCTTTTTATCTGGATAAATCTTTATCAAATTTCATTACAAGAGCTGTCTAATAATACAAACCTAATATAATAAGAGCATATCAAACTTCTTCTCAGTGGCCCACATATCTTAGCATCAGGTAAAGCATGGCTTTCATAATGCAAAGAATATTGTAAGAAGAATTGATATGTACATGAAATTGGTGGAGAGGGTGGAGATAGCTATAAACACTTATACCATTGTCTTCTCTGGGACATAGTTGGTCCCCATTAACTTCCAAGCAGCTGCCAGATGACAAATTATTTTATGCTAAATAAAGGAGTTTGAACTTGAACCTGATAATCATGGGATTTTAAAATAAAATAGTGGGTTTAATAAGATTTAACATTTTTTTGGCAGTTACTTTGGTATAGTGAAGAAGATGTATTGGAAGATATATTGGAAGAGGGGCTAATTGGAGGTGAGGAGATACATTAGAAAGATACTATGCTAATCTGAGGAGACAGTGATGAGAGCAGGGCAAGTGCATTTGAGAAGAAGGACAGGTTTGAAAGAATCAAGAGGACTTGGTTTTGGTTAAGTAGGTGAGGGAAAAGGAAGACACTATGTTTTTTATTTGGGCAACTGAGTGATTTGATGCCATAGATTAATAAACCAAATAGAGGAAAGGGAAGGTTTTGGGGAACGAGATCAATTTTAGACATGTAGTGTATGAAGTGCCAGTGGACAGCCAAGCTATGTCCAATTGGATATATTACTGGAATTCAGGAGAGAGATCTTGAGTTGAAAAATATTAGACAAATCATCTATCTATGTATAATTGAAACTATGAAATTGATGAAGTCACCCAGGAAAAGTATATTTAAGGTAAAAAGAACAGAAGGGCAAGAATGGAAAGAATCTTTTATGGAAGGAGGAAAGGAAATTGATCACTAAAGGAAAGGGCCTGAGGTAGAGCTGGTCAGATACAGGCCATCTAGGAAAGTAGTGTAATAGAAACCAAAGGAAAGAGAGGGTTTCAAGGAGGGGTTAGCGGACAGTATCAACTTTCTGAAGGTTCAAATTGAGTGGTGACTAAAAAGTGTTTTTTGGATGTAGCCATCTTGGTTACCAGGTATTGTAGAGAAGACAATTTAGTGGAGCAGGTGGGGGCAAAACCCTAATTGCAGTGGTTGGAGAATGAATATGGGAGGCAAGCAAGTAGATATGGTGAGAAAGTTAACTCTGTGTGAAAGTTAAGGAAAGATGGAGGAGGAGAAGCATAGTAACTAAAGGTCATAGTAAGTGATTGAAGGGTTTTATTTTCTTTTGTGTTTGTACATGGTCAGTATTTTAAAGTTGGAAGAGACTTGGAATTTTAGTTTATATGCTGAATAGGGAAGGAGCTTAGTAGAGAGGGAAAGAGAAAAGGTATCAGAGAAGGAATTATTCATGGAGCAAGGTCCTTTATTTAAAAGGTAGACTCCAGAGCTCAAAGGAATGAGAAAGTAATGAATGATCCAGTTGGTAATTTTTCATTTCTACAATCAAATAAAATATAGATCTTTACCATATTTTCCAGTGAAGATAAACAATTACCCATTTTTATTTCTTGAAGATATTTGTTCTTCAATTAATTCCTGACAATTTTTTTTATAATGACCTTCAGTTTAAAAAGAGATTTTATCAGTATTAAAGAATTTGACAAAAGGGTGAGAAAGTCATCTATACATTCTACTATATTAACAGAAAAACTATTTTCACTTTTCCATTTTATCTATAATTACTTTCTTAACACATACTATGTATCCATTGCAGAAAATTAATGAAGATTTATTTAATAAAAGCAAGTTGTATGGCATGGGTTTACTCTATTTGGTATGTTATTTACATGATACTAATTTTTCTTCTTTTCCCCCCAATAAGGATCAAGACTCTTTAAAGAAGAGCCAAGGTGTTGGTCCAATTAGAAAAGTTCTCCTCCTGAAGGAAGATTATGAAGGCCTGGGCATTTCAATTACAGTAAGAAGTAGTGCTTCCAGTCTCTTTTCTACATTTACCTAGTATCACCATACTCCTTAGGACATTGGAAATCATTGAAACAAAGTATTCTGGATATATTTTCTAAGTAACTGGATTTATCCCCATATCATTGAAACAAAGTATTCTGGATATATTTTCTAAGTAACTGGATTTATCCCCATGGGCACTCTTTTTGTGTAAACTTTTTTTTGTATGTATGTAAATCTTGCTAATAACTTAAGTATAACTTTACAATTAAACATTTTTATTATGACTATTCTGTGTTAAATGGCTCCAGATTGTATTATTTTTTTCTGTAGCATATGTGTTACCTTTCTCTTGTTTAATTTCTTTGTTGTCAGATTTGACTGGCTCTCGGGTCTAAATAGTCTTCCTTTTTAAATTTGATGCCTTTGTAAAGAGTTATCTTGGGCAACATTCCTGAGAGCAATCTATTATCAAATACATATATTTGGAGTCATTTTGCTGTTGCTTAGTACTTTGTTCCAGGTGAATGAATAAGGTGGTTTTACTCTAATTTTCACTTGGCAATACTTAGGTACTGCATGAGTTCATTTTAGTTCTGGTATTGCTTAATGTAGGAATATCTCTCAATATGAAAAGCTTATACAATGGAGAAATAAGATACATACACACACAACTATGATACAAGCTGGAAAGTGATATGTACCAAATACTGCATTCCATTAATTCTGTGTTGCATATTTTTTCACATTTAACATCTCTGAAATTAAGATTCATCTTATGAGCTTACAATTGTTTTTATGGTACATAAAAGAATGGTTTATGTTACCAGTTAGTGATTTAGAGCTGATAAAATTGAATAGTGCTGTAGACTACTAATACATAAATATTCTTATTTGTGTTTAAAGTAGTTTAGCTGATTGTAGTTGTTGCGGGGGAGGGGGGGGCTGTAAGATGCTTTTTAGAAAAGCACATGTGTGTTATTAATTGTTTTACTAAGAGGTAACCCTTTGAAACTCATAATGATTTATTTATCATTAAGCAGCAAACGATTTTACTCAGCATTTATAGAGACAGTATAGGTGCTTCTGAAATATATTGCAAGAAAATATTTTATTTTTAGAATAGTCTGTGCTTATACAAAGAGTAAACTAATTGATTGCCTTTGTTTTGTTTTTTGTTAGGGTGGGAAAGAACATGGTGTTCCAATTCTCATTTCTGAGATCCAGCCAGGGCAACCTGCTGATAGATGTGGAGGACTACACGTTGGAGATGCTATTTTGGCTGTTAATGGAGTTAACTTAAGGGATACAAAGCATAAAGAAGCTGTAACTATTCTTTCCCAGCAAGTAAGTTCCCTTTATGAAATTAAAATTGGATCTATCAATTGGTTCTTTTTTAATCTATTGAGTATTTTCTACTTCCCTACGAGGTTACTCAAGTAGTAAAGTGCTTCTGTATAGATAGCTAGCAGGTTTTTTTTGGGGGGGCGGGGGGATAGGGCTTTTATAGAAAACATTCAGCCAGATTTACTGAAAAAGGACATTTTACTTGTTCTTTCCACAACTGTGTAAGTGTGAGCAAGTCAGATCTTCTGTGCTGCAGTGCCTTCATCTGAGAGCTGTAAGGATTCAGTATATTAATACAGTATCAAATGTTAGGACAGGACCTGACATTAGAGAGCAAAACATCATTAATGACTAAAATATTATATAAATATAAGGTATTATAGGAAAATATGATGCTAGAAATGGATTTATAGTCATAAATGTTAGAACTAAAAGGATCCTTAGAAGTCATTTAGCTCAACCTTCTTATTTAAAACGAATAAACTAAGGTTCTTTGAGAAATAATGATTTGCTCAAAGTTGCAGGCAAATAAATGACAGAGTTGGTATTCATATCCAGGTATCATATGTATATAAACTTAAGATTTATTTTATTTTGCTTTTCCTTTAGGGTTGAGGGAAATAGAGAGGCATTGGTAGGTAGTTCATTGAGTTTTTGTTGGATCATAAGTGTGGTATGCGAGTGTAGAATTGAATCTCAGAGTTGAAAGTGAATTTATAGCTCATTTGGTTCAACTCCACAAGATGCATAAATCTCTACAATATTATTAATTAAATAATTGCATTGAAGGATTTGTTGATAAAGCAGTCAATTCTTTTGTGGTATGTTGATGATTTTTAGAAAGCTTTCTCATATTAAGCCTCAGATCTGTGTCTCTGTGACAGCTACCCACAGACCTAATTTTGTCAACTAGAACTTACTGAAGACCACTGTATTATCTGTCTGCCTCCCCAAAATATTTTAAAGATGTTCCGATAAGGGAGAGCCAAGAATACAACCCTAGCCTCTTTAAGTTGGTGTTTTCCCAACCCAGCTTGGCTGTCATCCAGTAGCATGGGAGTGGTAAAGGAGATACAAATAGATAGTCATAAAGCTTGAAGGAAACACTAAGCACATATTAAAATTCTGAGGCATATCCTTAAACTGCTGGGAACAGGAGAACCAAAGAGACTAACTTAGCGAGTAGCAGTAAAAAATGGCATGTTTTCTTTTGAGCAAAGGCAGGCCATATTTTTCAGAGTTGCAAATACCAGACTTGTGTGTAATGATTGTAGTCTCTTATTAAATGACTAGGGGCCCGGTGCACAAATATTCGGGCACAGGGGTGGAGGGGGTCCCTCAGCCCGACCTGTACCCTCTCCAATCCGGAAGTTTCTGTCTGTCTTTGCAATCATATGAGCAAATTGTCTGAGACCCCAACCCAGTTTGGTTTGTTGCTCACAGAATAATAGAGGCTTTTTTTTTTTCTTTGCTTCATTGGTGGAGATTTCCTGGAAGTTTTAGGATATCTTCCCTTTAATTTTTCCTAGACACTCTGATTGTACTTATGTCTCTCATCTTTGCTTTCCCTCCATCCCCCACTGCAACATAACTTGCTCCAGGCTCACTTTGCTCTAGTGCAGCGGTTCTCAACCTGTGGGTCGCGACCCCTTTGGGGGTCGAACGACCCTTTCACAGGTGTTGCCTAAGACCATTAGAAAACACATATTGAATATATAATTACATATTGTTTTTGTGATTAATCACTATGCTTTAAGTATGTTCAATTTGTAACAATGAAAATACATCCTGCATATCAGATATTTACATTACGATTCATAACAGTAGCAAAATTACAGTTATGAAGTAGCAATGAAAATAATTTTATGGTTGGTGGTCACCACAACATAAGGAACTATATTAAAGGGTTGCGGCATTAGGAAGGTTGAGAACCACTGCTCTAGTGTCTAGGAGATCCGTCTGCCACCAGAACTACAATTCCCAGAATTCCTGGTGCTCCCCCCCTCCCCCCCGCGCTCTGGGCTTCCGCTTCCGTCCTGGGACTGCCATCAGAACTACTATTCCCAGAATTCCTGGTGCTCCCTGTGCTGGGAGCGACCGAGGGAGCCACGGCCCCCCAAGCCTCCAGCTCTCCTGCTCTGCTTTCCGCCTGGGCGCCTGTGTATGCAAATTAACCCACCATATTTGTTGGGTTAATTTGCATATTTGCCCTGATTGGCTGGTGAGCATAGTGATGGGACAGTCAATTTACATGTTTCTCTTTTATTATATAGGACTAGAGACCCGGTGCACGAGATTCGTGCATGGAGGGGGGGTGGAAGGGTCCCTCAGCCCAGCCTGTGCCTTCTTGCAGTCCGGGAGCCCTCAGGGGATGTCCAACTGATGGCTTAGTGGGCCTAAGCAGGCAGTCGGATATCCTTAGGCTGCCATAGAGGCGGGAGAGGCTCCTGCCACCACCACCGCTGTGCTCGCCAGCCGTGAGCTTGGCTTCTGGGCTTCTGGCTGAGCAGCGCTCCCCCTGTGGGAGTGTACTGACCACCAGGGGGCAGCTCCTACATTGAGCGTCTGCCCCCTGGTGGTCAGTGCACATCATAGTGACCCGTCATTCCACCGTTTGGTCGATTTGCATATTACCCTTTTATTATATCAGACTATTATATAGGATGATTCTAACTTGGAATATTTTAACATAATATATAATCTGTAATTTTTTACTTGCACCTAAAGTTGTTACTAAAGAATAATTGTATAAATATTACACATTTAGTGGAGTATGGTAGAAAGAGCAGGAATTTGGAGTCAAATTTCTACTTTTCTATTTTACTTGTTCATCATATTGGAAGTTATCTGCTTTCTCCAGGACTCTCGGGTTTTTCATTCATGTAAAAGAGACTACAATAGTGATATTCTGAGGACTAAAGGATATAATTTTGCACAATAAATATGGTGATTACTGTTACTACTGACAGAATACCTTGATTAACACTGTGTCTGATACTCAGTGAAAGTTAAGGTTCAAGACCTAGTCAGTAAGAAACAAAATCATTATGTAGAGGTTTGCTGAATTAGACAAGGAAAAGTTTGTGTGATGCCTTCAGGTATACCTTTAATATCTATTTAGATGGATTTGCTGAATTGCTATGTAAAGTACAAAATGGCAAAATGACTTAAACTGAACATTTGTTCCAGAATTCTATAAATTGAGTAGTTAAGCATCCTTTTTTTTTAGATCTATAAGCAAAAATATTGTGATCAGTAGAAAGAACTACTATAATATTAAAAAGAATCTAGAGAGGATTCCTGGAGTTGGTCTGGACATGATGGCCTCTAAGCTCTCTTTTATCTCTTGAGATTCTAGACTGTCATTTGTTGCCTTGAAAGGAAGCTACATCTGAGGTCTGACTACTGTTCCTCATCTCTATCCACCACCCCAAAGAATTTAGAAATCCTTTTTTAATTACATAACTTGACTTCCTTATTTTCTTTCTCCATTTTAGAGAGGAGAGATTGAATTTGAAGTAGTTTATGTGGCTCCTGAAGTGGATTCTGATGATGAAAATGTGGAGTATGAAGATGAGAGTGGACATCGTTACCGTTTATACCTAGATGAATTAGAAGGAGGTAGTAATCCTGGTGCCACTTGCAAAGACACAAGCGGGGAAGTCAAAGTGTTACAAGGTAAAAATCTCTAAATAATCTAAAAGTTATGATTAATAAAAATTAAAAATATAAAAGCCTCAGATGTTCTTCAGTAACACTTTTTTAAAAATGTTTTTATTGATTTTAGAGAGAGGGGAAAGGAGAGAGAGAGAGAGAGAGAGAGAGAGAGAGAGAGACAGACAGACCCCTACTAGGGATCGAGCCCACAGCCCAGGCATGTGCCCTGACTGGGAATCGAACCAGCAACCTTTTGGTGCGTGGGACGCCAGTAATACTTTTAATTACAGTGGGCATTCATTCATTTGATTACAGTGGGCATTCATTCCTTTGTTTTGGCTCAGTAGAATCACAAGACCTTTTTTTTTTTTTTCCTCTTTCTTTTAGGATTTAATAAGAAGTCAGTAACTGATGGACATGAAAATGGAGACCTGGGAACTTCGAGGGAAACTCCGCTAGAAGACAGTGCTGCTAAATTAGATGATCTACACAGTCTGTATCAGAGAAAGTCTTGTTAAACTGACTATCCCCAGACGAGATTGTAAAATCAGACTATTCTGAACTTGGGGCACTAGGGAAGATGGCGACAAAGACTATACAAGCTCAAGGGAGGCTGTTTGTTGCCCAATGAAAGGCGGGTACCTCAGGGCTTCGTGTGAACAATTCTAAACGCCTGAATCCCCGATTCTGTGGTATATCATAATTGGCTATTGCATGTAAAGCAATTTTGATTTTCTTAAAAAATTGTAAAGCACCAAAGCATGTATTTCCCAAAGGGATATTACTAGGCTCTTAAGTACCAAATGAAGCACTACTGTTTTATTTGGTTCCTCTCCCACTTAGTAGAAGGGAGAGTGCTAACCAGTATTTTATAAGAAATAGCCTTTAAATTCAAGAGAATAAATGAATTCATGTTATATATTCCAGAATGTCAAGTGTGGTGTTTCAAAAGACAGAACTTGACTCAATGAATTGCAGAAATGTAGGCTGGACTTAATAGTTTTTTTAACTGAAAGAATGGCTTTGGGTTTTTTAAAATTTTATTTTGCATCCTGATACGTAAATCAGTTCTTGATCATTTATTGTGATGAGTTTGCCGTTCAGCTCTATGCAATGCAGTACAAAATAGGTTTCTTTAAGCAATCCTTATCAATCAGTGCTGCACCGAAATTGTTTCTGTAGTTACTGTACATTGTACTTTTCTGATTTTTCAAAAGAGATGCAGATAAGTGTAAATTCTTTGTTCCCAATTATGTTGATCTCTGTGCATGGTATTGGAGCATTACGTTATTACTGTGTAGTCTAAAATGCTTTTTTTTTTTCTGGGACTACAAAAGACAGTTTTATACATTTTGAGTTGTTTATAAAGTGTGTCTTGCTGTGATAGTCCTGGCACTTACAAATACATTTTTCTGGCAGTAAAAGCTCAAATTTATTACTATATCAACAAAATATATTGCATTCTAACAGCAGTTTTCCCTCAGAGTAACATTTCCTAGTCACCTAAAAAGCTGAGGCACTGGTAGGAAAGATAAGGTAAAGATGTTTTCATACAGTAATTGTTCTGGTTGGCTTTTCACATCAGTGTCTGTTTGACTAAAGAGCTTTTCAGATGCAAACTTCTGATGTGCTAGTTTTTTTATCCCAGGATTAAGCATGGAGTAGTGCTCTTTCATTTACTGTTCCTACAGCCACTGTACCTTGTTGGGGAAAGTGAAAATATTACTTTTAAAGAGGTGATAGTTTTGCCAGTATCACTGTTTTAAAGGATATACATTTAAGGGACTGTTAAGTGGGGGGAAAAGCTTGCCAGGCCCTTAGAGTATTATCAGTTCTTCATTTCTAATGTTCAGATGTTATGTGATATAACACATTTTCTTGTCTTTCTTAGATGCACTATATATATTTGTTCATAAGTAAATCTGTAAAATGTATATACTTTATTGGTGGTTTTGCTATTTATAAATTTTATGTTTTAACTATTGTTCATTTATGGTTTGTTTTGGTGGTTTTATTCATCTGTATATCTTCATGTTAATTTGTAATAGAAATGCACTTCATAGTATATATTGTTACTGATATTAAAATACCTTGTAGGATAAAGATGCCTCTAAGCAAAAGCTAGTATTTAATTGCACAACTGAATAAGCAAGCTACATGTTACTGTTTGCTCCTGACATGCTAGGCTAGGCCTCTTAAAAGAAAACAAATGCTTTTTCCTTATGCATTCCCCCAGCTGCAAACACATACCCCCATGCATGACTTGAGATCTGCACGCTGGAGTTTAGCCAGTGTACTCATGTAGCCAAGAAAATTTGCATTGTAGTAAGTCTGAAAATGTTTTTTTGTGTGTAACTCAAAACCATGTTATTTTTATTTTTTTAAAACACAGAATGGGATGACTATGGCATTTTTTCAGAGAATATCTATGACTGAATTCTTAGGAAATATTAGCTAAAACTTTTTGACTTTCAAGCACTGTCTACTGAGTCTATGAAGAATTTTTTTAGGGCCTTCAGTTGGCATATCTATAAAGGTGCTGTGTAATAGGATTGTGAGAGTTGGTTATGATATAACTCCTTTCAAGGGCTGATGAACAGAATGAGAAAATTTCCAGGTCGTTTAAAATTTAAACTTGCATGGGTCAGTCCCCTTTTCGTTCCTGCTGCACCTTGGTTTGCACGCCTACTTGAGAGCACGGTCGCTCAGATGCTACTGTGAGCTTCCTGACATGTTTAGAAACTACCCAGTTAAAAGTTCATTTTGGATATAAGGTCTTTAAGAATTACAGACTTTTTCCAAAGGACTGAATGAGAAGCAGTTTTTTATTTTCACATGTATAGGAAAGAAACGCATAATACTGAAGTTTCTGGGGCAAAACCAAACACAAGGAGAGAACTGGCACACTCAGTTGAAAGGAAAGGAAACACTGCACACTCAGAGTAGCTGAGAAAAACTTTTCAATACAGTGTGACGGTTGTGTGTGTACAGCTACATGTTAACCTCTAAATTCTCTTCTAAGTATCTGTTCTGAATATGTTGGAAAAACAGGTTATTAGACTTTCTAAAATAGATTTAAGAGATGAAAATTTGTAAGTCTTGGTGATTATACTGAACAGTTGTCGAGTTAGCACGGTTTGTCTTGGTGCTGGTTTTTTTCCCCCCACAGTGAACTTATTTTGTTTTTCTGTTTAGAAACAAAATCTATTAATTCATGCCTAAGTTGCACATTATTATAATTATAATTGACATCCTATTCCACCTATCTGGTCTTCCACGTAGGCTCAGCCTCAGATCTATAGGATTTATGACAAATGTATTCTATCTAGTTAAGTTGAGTTTATTATTTTTTTAATAAGCCTGTAAATAAAGATGGCATCTTCTACATTAAAAATGGTATCAATCTCAATTTTTTAATGAATTTTGTTTCACATTAAATACTTTGGTTTGTTAATTATTTCTAGTAGCTTCTATTATTTGTACCAACAAGTCATAAAGTTCATGCAAGGCCTGAACCTAGTTACTGTGGTAGAACAATTTTTGGGGGTAGGAATTAACTCATCTGAGGAACTGTTTAATCCAGTGGTTCTCAACCTTGGCTGCACAAAGCCCAGAAATCAAGATTTTAAAAAGATTCCAGGTGATTCTAATGTGCAGCCAAGGTTGAGAACCACTGGTTTAATCTGAGCTAGTTAAAAGCACATTGGTTGGCCTGGCTGGTGTTCAATTCCTGGTCAGGGCACATGCTTGGCTTGTAGGCTTGATCCCCTCGGGGGGTGTGCAGGAGGCAGCCAGTCAATGATTCTCTCTCATCATTGATGTTTCTATCCTCTCCCTCTCTCTTCCTCTTTGAAATTAATAATAATAAAAATATATTTTAAAACAAAACAAGTTTAGTTGGAAGACACTGCTGGAGCAACTGTAGGACCGGCTTCTGTTGGAACTTAGCAGATGGCAAAAACTAGTCTGCTTGGGCTGGTTTTGTATTACAAACATTGATAGCTATTGTTATCTGTAAGGATAACACTGATAATTAGAAAATCAATCCTACTAGATAGTGTGTAAGAGGATATTCTTCCATTTTATCATCTAAGCAGATATCATTTAGAAGTTCCCAAATTATTTGTAAAATAGTTTTTAGAAACATCTGTAAACATTGATCAGGTGTTTTGTTTGTTTTTTTCAGGAGTATTACTTGTTATGAACATTTAAAAATAATTATTTTTGTCATGGACTAACCTTGATTTAGTCCTAATCTAATAATGCTGACTATGTATCAGTTTAAGCTCCTAATTAAACAAGTAATTTGGAAAAGTCTTTTCCAGAATAATATCACATTAGATAGTTCAGTTTATGAAATGTGAAAGATTATTTGTATTCTCATTGTTAATCAACATTCTATTTTATGTGGGATTACAATTGTTTTTTAACTAAAAGGTATTACAAATGACTGTGTGGGTGCTAAGTGTTTGTTTGATAATAAATCTTTTCCAGGTGTATTGTGAAAGCTGTGATCGCTGCTGTGGCAGCCTGAGAAAGCATCTGTCATCCCCAGGAGGGCGCATGCGGACAAGGCCCGCCCAGCTGCTGCGCTCTGAAATCTATTGCTGCTTCTCAACCACTGGTCTTGAGAGGGAGTTTATGGCTTCTTGACTTTGGCTTGACTCCCTGACAGCCTTGCCAGACTCCCTTAGCATTACAATAAAGTTTAAGTTGCTTTCACCCAGGCTTCCTGCCTTCTTTCATTCACCTGGGGCCAGGCCTGCCTGAGATCTGGTTGCCTCCCAGCCTCCGACCAACCCCAGCTCCCTCCTGATTTTTCCTCACCCGCATTGCCCCTATTTAATCTTTGACACAGCTGAGCCCTTGGTTGTGGTGTCTGCTTTTTGAAGGACCCAGACTAACAGTGGACCAGGGTGAGAGCTGAGGAAACAGTTTAATAGGAGATTAGGAAGTGGCTCATCTCCCACCCGAAGGGGAAAGAGGATGACGTCCTGGTCTGTATCTAGGATACATGCATTGCTTGGCACAGGTCATGGCCCAGTTACCGAATATTTCACAGATGGTGTGCAGAGAAGAGTTAACATAACTGCCCTGAACCTGTTACCCTTACAAAGACCTGTTTGCAAGGTCGCCTTCGGCTAATGTCCAGCAATGAGGATTTTAGGAGTGTTTCCCCCATTTCTTAGCTGATAAGAGTTATTTACTGTGTCTGAGATGTTTGTACAAACAATAGGGTTTATGTTGAACCCTTGTTTTCCTTCTGGGAATCTGAGATTTTGGTGATGTGCCAGCAGAGTGCACCTGTGTGACTGAGCCCCATAAGAACCCTGCCTCCCACACCCAGGCTCGGGCCAGTTTCCCTGACGGCCGTCCTTTGTACATGTCACAGGTCATTGCGGGAGGAGTTAAGCTTGTCCTGTGCGACTACGGGGACAAGACTCGGTGCTTGGGCCTGGCTTCCTCTGGTTTGTTCGTGTACCTTTTCCCTGGGCTGATTCTGTTTGATGTTCTCTAATAAGTCATACTTGTGAGGACACTTCTGTGCTTAGTCCTATGGTTTTTTCTAGCAAATGACTCAATCTGAGGATGGTCTTGGAGACTGAGGGTTGTTAACAAGCGGTTAGTGCTGAAATAGAGCCAGCGGACCTCTGGGAAGCTTACAAGGAGGTCTGGGTTGAAACAGCTGAGCTTCAGGCTAGCCATCTCATCCTTACGGCCCTGGTAGAAAAAACCTTGGGGACATGGTGCCATGGGGACATCTGGATGGATACCCCTGAGGACGTTGACTCCGTAGTGCCTACACCCTTGGTCTTACAGAAGTACCCCACCTCTTCCCTAATGAGTCACCTCTGTTAGGTTAGAAGGTGCTAGAGATGCTGCTACCCAACCCCCACCACCTCGCAGACAACTGTCCCCACTATTCTTGGCTGCAAGGTTTATAGCCAGGATTAAATTCTAGCAAAACCTGGCTGTGGATGTGCAAGGGAGAAGACTGGACACTCAAAATTAAGCGTTAGTATATTCTGGCAGGGGTTGAGCAAGCCTTACTGGGATTTTGAGAGAGCTTGATCAAGGACTAAATTCTCCAATTAAAAGAAAAAATTCAAGTTGATAAAAATAATCCAGCAACAAGTTGTTTATAAGGAACACACCTAAAACATAAAGACACAGTTTGAAAGTAAAGAACCAAGATGGCAGCGTAGGTAAACACCTGTACTCACCGCTTCCCATAACCACATAAAATTACAACTAAAATACAGAGCAACCATCATTCAGAACCACCTGAAAGCTGGCTGAATGGAAGTCCTACAACTAGAGAAGTAAAGAAGAAAGCACACTAAGACTGGTAGGACGTGCGAAGGCGCAGAACGGGCTGTTCAGGCATCCCTGTGGGCTGTTTTTCAAACCAGGAGGGAGAGCACCTCTGTGGAGGCCGCCAGAGAGGACAAAGGGTCTCAGTCCCATACCAGACCCATAGCCCAGGGTCTCAGGGCTGGGAAGAGAAGTCCCCACAACCACAGGCTGTAAAAGCCAGCGAGGATTGTGGCTGAGTGACTAGGAGGTGGCTGGAATCCCAGGTATTCCTCTTCCAGGGCCCACATACAAACTTACATGGTCTGGCTTCCTCTGAGCTCCAGGACTGGGGGAATCAGACACATACAGCATTGGGGCAGGAACTTGGGGCAGCTTTCTCCAAGACGGGGGTGCTTGCCGGGGTCATTGTTTCTGTGCTGGGACCTTCCATTTCTCGGGGCTGACTGGCAGCCATATCAGCGTGGCCCACACTGTTTGCTCCGCCCTGAGGATTACTTGAGACTCTGCCCCATCCAATTTGCAGCCCCATCCAAGCTGTTTGCAGCAGCTTTTCCATATGAATGGCCTGTTCTGGCTCAGGCTTCAGAGCTAAAATTTCTCAAACAAGCTGCAGCTGGTGACAGCGTGCCCCAAACCTATCAATAAAAGCCCCAAGACCCGGCACTAGCACCAGCCTGCCTTGCTTCACAGCTGGGCCTCGTCTGGGCACTTCCAAGCCCAATACAAATAGCAAATAGCAATCCTCTGCAGATCCCTCTGTAGCACCTGTGAGATGGCCCCAGCCAGTGGCAAACTTTGTACCATCCTGGAGGCCCTAGAGCCAGTGTACCCAGTGAACAGCCTCAGACCATGCCAGATTACAACTCTACACATCCATAAATGGCAAACTCAAGAGGCAGACTCAGTAAGCACCAAAGCTCCACTGAAACAAGTCCTGCTCCATAGAGGTGTCTCCTGCACAGCAGTTCTCCCACTGTAGTCACAGCTGGTCCTCACAGCCAATTGGCCTGGAGGTCAACTCCTCCCAGTGATGCCAACAGCAATTAAGGTTCAACTACAAGACTGTGCACCCAGGGGTGCACCTAGAGTGCCCAGCTCTGGGTTCAATTCCCAGTCAGGGCACATACCTAGATTGAGGATTTGGTCTGGGAGCATACAGGGGGCAACAGATGAATGTTTCTCTCTCTCCCTTCATCTCTCTTTAAAATCAATAAAACATAACCTCAGGTGAGGATAAAAAAAATCTGGCTTGTAAATAGGAAGGTAGATTAATGAACTATAAGAAGGAAAATTAGATATACAAAATGTAAAACAGACAAAAACTTGGATTCCATGGCTTTGGAAAGGTAAAATTTGCAATTTGGTAAAGTGACAGTAGGGGGCAGCAGATTCCAAATGTGATATTTTTTTCTATTAGAGCTAAAAGGCTTTATGAAGATTATCAAATATAATACTCTCTCCTCGTATGCAATACATGTGTTCAAATGTTTACTTGTGGCCTCATGTGTAACACACGTGTTCAGTAGAAAAAAATACTCCATTATGAGGATGAATAAGCTGAGGACTAGAAAATTTATATTATTTGTGGAGGGACACAGGTAGTGTCAGAGCTGGGACTCAAATCCCACTCTTGATTCTACTTTTTAAAAAAATATATTTTTATTGATTTCAGAGAGGAAGTGAGAGGGAGCGAGAGATAGAAACACCAATGATGAAAGAGAATCATTGGTCGGCTGCCTCCTGCACACCCCACACTGGGGATCAAGCCCACAACCCGGGCATGTGCCCTGACCAGGAATCAAACCATGACCTACTGGTTCATAGGTAGACACTCAACCACTGAGCCATGCCAGCTGGGCTTGATTCTACTTTAATTGGCCACTTTCAAAGAGGAAATATAGATGAAATTGTCAGCTTTTCAATCTTTTTCCTCAATAATTATATTTCTTTTTTCTTAAATGACACAAGATTTGATGGAACCTAGGATTGATTCAGTTTTGATTTTCAGAAATGAAGGTTATGGTTGAGCTGGGTTTAAACTGCACTAGAAATAGTTTTTCTGTAGTTGAGTGTTAGAATGCCAGAACTGAAGTTACATTGTAGGTTCTTTGATCCTGGAGACTATAGCATTCCAAT